GGGAACCGCCAAGAGAGTGAAGGAGGTCCGAGAAGGAGTCCCCTCGGGTAAGGGGTGAGCTCTTCCCGGGTTTTACTGTAAAATTCCTAGAAGAAAACACAGGGAAAAGCTTCACGACGTTGATCTTGGGAACGATTTCTTGGATCTGACACCAAAAGCACAGGCAACAAAAGGAAAAAATAAGCAAGTGGGACTATATCAAACTAAAAAGCTTCTGGCAGCAAAGGAAATAAGTGACAGAGTGAAAAGTCAACCTACAGAATAGGAAAGACTATTTGCAAACCATATATGTGATAATGGGTTAATATCTAAAATATATGAGGAACATCTACAGCTCAATAGCAAAAAATCAAAAAAAAAGTTTTTTTAAATGGGCAAAGGACTTGAATGGACATTTCCCCAAAAAAGACATACAAATGGCCACAGGTGTATGAAAAACTGTTCAACATCACTAGTCATCAGGGAAATACAAATCAAAACCACAATAAGGTATCACCTCATGCTTGTTAGGATGGCTATTTTAAAAAACGATAAAAACGTTAAGTGCTGGCAAAGATGTAGAGAAACCGGAACCCTTCTACTCTGTTTGGAGGAAAAGCGCCATGTTTTAGGGAGTGCCTCCTTTGGGATCTTCTATGGGGCCTTACAGGAGGCATTACAACTGATGCCACAAAAATAAAAAGGATCATAAGAGACTACTATGAACAATTATATGTAAAAAATTGAATAACCCAGAAGAAATGGTGTTGCTTTACCTCACATGGGATGACGGAGATGCAAAAAGGATTACTCAAAGCCCATTTCCTCTGAGCAGTAAGACACCCCGAAGGGGTTAATTTCCCAGAACCCTCAAGAGAGAGGCATTCCTCCTTTGGGAAATCAATAATGAACTGGTGTTCTCTCCCCATATTTATTCTCCAGACCAGGAAGTTACAGAAAAGGAACATAAGTGGAGTTATGGCTAAGTATAGTTTAACAACAGAGGTGGTAACATCAGTGAAATAACAAAGTAACATTCCATAATGCAATTTGCAAAAGGTTAAGTTGATCCACCAACAAAAGCTTGTTCTCAGCAAACATTTTCTTTCCCTACAGCAGTTTCCTTAGTAAGTTTACATAACAATCAAGTAACTTGTCTCTCCTTGAGCCAGCAACTTTGCTGTGTTACAATTCTATAACCACAACAGAGACTTTAGCCTGGGGAAAGTTTCCTATCTTTTGCAAGCTTAACATTTCTATATGTAATTTTAAAAAGTTAGGTTAAACCTGAAACTACAGGGCTTTGGAAACTAGGCCCTGTGAAATACATTTGCTTTATAAATGTTAGTATACTCCACAAAATGGAGAAATTCCCAAAAACATGCAACCTACCAAAACTGAAACATGAAGCAATAGAAAATATGAATAGATTTATAACTAGTAAGGAGGTTGAATCAATAATCAGAAGTCCCCCAACAAAGAAAAGCCCATGACCAAATGGCTTCACTGGTGAATTCTACTAAACATTTAAAGAAGTAACAGCAATCCTTCTCAAACGCTTCCAACAAAATTGGAGAGGAAGAAACACTTTGAAACACATTTTATGAGGCCAGCATTTGTTGGGGCGTTGAGGCCACACACTTCCTCCCAGGGCAGAGAACTAGCCACAACCCCACCCACATACATGTATGTCATCTGTTGAAAACATTCGCCTGGACAGGAGATAAAGATGGCGCCTGACAGAAGCTGCCGTGGCATGGCCAAGGAAAGACATAGTTTAAAATTATTGGTTAAGGGCCGGCCCGGTGGTGCACTCGGTAGAGTGCGGTGCTTGGGAGCGCGGCGGCGCTCCCGCTGAGGGTTCGGATCCCATATAGAGACCGGTCCGCTCACTGGTTGAGAATGGTGCGGGCGCGACACCGAGGGTTGCGATCCCGTTGCCGGTCGCGGTACGGGCGTGACACCAAGGGTTGCAATCCCGTTACTGGTCACGAAAAAAGACAAAAAGGAAAAAAAAAATATTGGGTAAAAGATATTTCCGCGCTCGTGCTCACCACGTGATTGCAATAGCAAAGCATTAGAGCAAGATGCACGCTCACGTGACCTTTAAGATGATAGGTTGAAGTTAGGAACCCCCCCTGCCATATGCTTATAAAAGTAGGTGCTTGTGTGAAAATAAACGGAACTGCTTGATGGGACCCCTGCCACCTCTGAGTGTCTCTCTGTGGGGCTGAATAGGCGGGCGGCATCCTCACCTTCCTCCCGGGCTCTCCTGGGCACGAGGGTGGCAGGAGTCATCCTACCAGTTCCCTCTCTTGCTCATCCTGTGGCGGGGGGATAAAAAGTGCTACTGGGAGGTTCGGGGCCCGCTGCCCCTGAGCCCCTGCAAGCGTTGCCCTGATACCAAAGCCAGACAAGGACACTACAAAAAAAAAAAAAAAGAAGAAAACTATAGGCCAATATCCTTGATGAATATAGATGCAAAACTCTTCAACAAAATACTGGCAAACTGAATTCAACAGCATGTTAAAAGTATTATTCACCATGATCAAGTGGGGTTTATCTCTGGGATGCAAGGTTGTTTTAGCACTTGAAAATCAATAAATGTGATACACCACAATAAAAGAATAAAGGATAAAAATCCCAAACATCTCTATAGATGTAGAGAAAGCATTTGACTGAATGTAACACCCTTTCATGACAAAAACTCTCAATAAACTAGGAATAAAGGAAATTACCTCAACATAATAAATGCCTGTACATGAAAAGCCCACAGTAAACATCATACTCAAAGGCGAAAAACTGAAAGCTTTTCCATTCAGATCAGGAACAAGACAAGGATACCCACTCTTGCCACTCCTATTCATCATAGTACTGGAAGTCATAGCCAGAGCAATTAGGCAACATAAAAGAAATAAAAGGCATCCACAGTGGGAAGGAAGAAGTAAAATTACCTCATTTGCTGATGTCATGATCTTAGAAACCCTAAAGACTCCACACAAAAAAACCCTGTTAGAACTAATAAACAAATTCCATAAAGTTGCAAGATACAAAATCAGCATACAAAAGTCAGTTGCATTTCTATACACTAGCAATCTGAAAAGGAAATTAAGAAAACAATGTCATTTACATAGCATGAAAAAGAATAAAAATATTTAAGAGTAAATTTAGCTAAGGAGGTGAAAGACACTGAAGACACTGAAGACTACAAAACATCGGTGAAAGAAATGAAAGAAGAAAAATAAATGGAAAGACATCTGTGTTCATGAATGAGAAGAGTTAATATTGTTAAAACGTCTGTACTATCCAAAGCAATCTACAGATTAAATGCAATTTTTATAAAAATCCCAACAGCAAAATCACACAATTAGAAAAAAAAACCTAAAATTCATATGGAAACACAAAGGATCCCAAATAGTCAAAACAATCTTGATAAAGAAAGAACAAAGCTGGAGGCATCACACTCCCTGATTTCAAAATATATTTCAAAGTTACAGTAACTAAAACCATGTGATAGAATGGTATTGCCATAATGACAAACATATAGACCAAGGAAACAGAATAGAGAGCCCAGAAATAAACCCACCCATACGTGATCAACTGATCTTTGAGGAATACACAATGGGGAAAAGACAGTCTAACAAATGGTGCTGGGAAAGCTGGATATTTACATGCAAAACAATAAAATTAGACCCTTATCTTACACCAAACACAAAAATCAACTCAAAATGGATTAAAGACTTAAACATAAAATGTAGAACTGTAAAATTCCTAGAAGAAAACACAGGGAAAAGCTTCACGACGTTGATCTTGGGAACGATTTCTTGGATCTGACACCAAAAGCACAGGCAACAAAAGGAAAAAATAAGCAAGTGGGACTATATCAAACTAAAAAGCTTCTGGCAGCAAAGGAAATAAGTGACAGAGTGAAAAGTCAACCTACAGAATAGGAAAGACTATTTGCAAACCATATATGTGATAATGGGTTAATATCTAAAATATATGAGGAACATCTACAGCTCAATAGCAAAAAATCAAAAAAAAAGTTTTTTTAAATGGGCAAAGGACTTGAATGGACATTTCCCCAAAAAAGACATACAAATGGCCACAGGTGTATGAAAAACTGTTCAACATCACTAGTCATCAGGGAAATACAAATCAAAACCACAATAAGGTATCACCTCATGCTTGTTAGGATGGCTATTTTAAAAAACGATAAAAACGTTAAGTGCTGGCAAAGATGTAGAGAAACCGGAACCCTTCTACTCTGTTTGGAGGAATGTAAAATGGCACAGCCACTATGGAAAACAGTAGGGAGATTCCTGAAAATAATAAAAATAGTATTACCATGTGATCCAGCAATCCTGTTTCTGGGTATTTAACCTAAAGAATTGAAATCAGAATTTTTAAGAAACGTTTGCACTCCCGTGTTCACTGTAGCTATTCACAATAGCCAAGGTGTGAAAACAACCTCAATGTTCATCAATGAATGAATGGATAAAGAAAATATGGTACATACATACAAGGCAATTTTTTTTTTCTTTTTTGGCAGCTGGCCAGTACGGGGATCCAAATCCTCGACTCTGGTGTTAACACTGTGCTCTGACCAGCTGAGCTAATCTGCCAGCCCTGATGCAATATTACCCAGCCTTAAAAAAGAATGAAATCCTGCCATATGTGACAACAGGGATTAACCTTTGAGGACATCATGCTAAGTGAAACAAGCCAGTCACAGAAAGACAAAACTGCATGATCCTACTTAGACAAGGTATCAAAAATACTACTCATAGTAGTGAAGAATGGAATGGTGGTTGCTAGGAGGTGGGGGGGAGAAGAAATGGGGATCTGCTGGTTAAAGGGTAAAACTTTCAGTTATGCAAAATGAATAATTTCTAGAGATCTGCTGTACAGCATTATGCCTGTAGTTAATACTGTATCACACACTTACAAATTTATTAAGAAGTTACAGTTTATGTTAAATGTTCATACCGCAATAAAAAAAATAGTAAGTTAATCAGAAAGTCAGTCAGCAAACATCTTTATTTAAAATGCCTTAATAAAGTTAACAAGGACCTTTCTTTTCTTCTCTTTTCTTTTTTCTTCTTTTTCTTTTTAAAAATGAAACACACCGTGTTCATCTTGAGCTTGGAGCAGCTTCCAGTTGGGTTTTACAGCCAGCAAAGCAGGAACAGTTTATCAGGCATTTCTGTATGATGGGCCAAGGTTGAGCTTCACTGAAAACTATGCAATACATTTGCAATAAATCTACTTTTGTTTTGGTGCCACTGAAAATACTGAGGCTCATACCAATAGTGAGGAATTTGAGGATTATTATCACCATAACAACTAGCAGATCACCAGGCCCAGATGGAAGGCACAGTGGAACTCTGAGGGAAGTGACAGAAAAAACCGAGGCAGAGGCCGCCTCTTCTGGTCTGGTTTCTCTAGCACGTGTCGTCTTCCCCTGTCCTGCACTTCGCCATTCTCCACACTCCAGCTCCTTTGAATTCAGAATCATTGTCGAAATATGGCTGGCAGAGGCCCCCAAAGGGTTTCCAATAAGGCTGTTTCTGAAATAAGTATCAGTGGAACATCTCTTCGTCTGGCTAGGCAGGGATTCTGAATCTTTTCTGAGCCATGAACCACTTTGATGGTCTGGGGAAGCCTGTGGATGCTTCTCAGGATGTTTTCTAATAGAACAAATTACATATGATTACAAAGGAAGCCAATTTTATTGAACTATCATGATCAAATATTTTAAAAGTCTGATTATATAGTAATATGTGTGTTTCTGTATTTATGCATTAAGATCTGATGGCAGATGTAACATCCATAGTTTTGAAGTAGGGATGACCATAAATGGCATTTCAAGAAAAACTACAATGATTGTAATGTGATAGGAAAATATCTATGATTTTTAAGGGGAACAAAGTCACAGGTACTGCTAATATTATCGGGATGTGCTGTCTACACTAACAATGAAAGGAAATGTTCAATTTCAGCTAGAAGTTAGAGAAAATAAGGATGTGACTTTTCCCCATCCAGGTTCATAAACCCCCTTGAGTTCTATCTACCTGCATTAAAGAACCCCTGGATTGGTGTCCCCTACTTGAAGAGGTAGCCTGGCAAAAGTCTTAATGTATAATTAAATGTTCGTATGATTACAATATATGCCAAGTCATTAGATTTCCTTCCACATGAAATGAACTTGCTGGAGTAATCGGTAAATATTTCTCAAAATTTGGGGGAAAAGAAGTCTGGCTAGCAAAAGAAGTCTGTAATGAATCCTAACCAGAATCAAAGCAAGTCCACAAGCCATGCATTTTTGCTGTGAATGCTGAAGAAGAAATTTTTAAAATAATGGCAGTAAACAGGTGAACTTCTGGTAAGGCAACCACATGAATTATCCAAAACTATGTGGATATCAAGTAATCTGTCCCCTGCCGTTTTAACAGACTTGAGTTATCTCCATCACATACAACTCCTAGGTTTCATTATAAAAGGTTCCTCTAGCCCCTCCCAGTGGAGTGCTAAGCTGCTTGCGGTCTGTTGAAGATGAATTTTTTTTTTCCCTTTTGTCTTTTTTCGTGTCCGGCAACGGACCGCAACCCTCAGTGTCGCGCCCATACCGGACCGGGACCGGCAACGGGATCGCAACCCTCGGTGCTGCGCCCGCCCCTCGCTCAGCCAGTGAGCGGGAACCGGTCTGTATGTGGGATCCGAACCCTCGGCGGGAGCGCCGCCGCGCTCCC